GGATTTTTTTTTATAATCGGGCGGTTCGGGCAGTTTAAAAGTAAAATCACAAACCAAACCAATTATATCAGTTTTAAATTTTTATAATCCAAACCAACCCAATTTTATATCGGTTTGGTTTGGTTTTTAATCGGATTGGATCAGTTTAGGTCGGATCAATCGGATTGGATCGGATATGAACATCCCTATCCACAATACCGTCATCTTCTCCCACGGACCGCAAGAGATCATAAGAATGCTACTTAATTTCTTCCATTAGCAATATTAACACAATGCGGTTTAATTTCATCCATTCTGTTTAGCTGAATTTTATTTTATTTTATTTTTAGCCAGCCTGAACTGTATATTAGCTTATAAACGTTTTTCCCTTTTTATTTTTCTTTTTATTTTTTTTTTCGGTTTAGCTTATACGTTGTTGCACGGGTCAAAGGACATGGTGGAGTTCTAGTGCAGAAAGTCGTGTTTATTATTTTCTTGATGTAATGGGGTATCAAACCTTCAATTAAACCCCACATAGACAGTAAGTGTTGAATTAACGAGGCCAGAGTCTATGTTTTTCTCCTAATTAATGAGACTATTTCAGCAGGGACCACTTCAGGTCTGCCGAAGAGATGACATTGACTCTGTTTACCTTTGCATTCAGATAAAAAACCGCGTTGATATTTCAAAGTTGATTGGTAAGAACTGTCATTCAAACTAAGCTAATATTAGCAATTCCCAAATGGATAATATTTATATATTTTTGTTGATGTGTTTTCTGGTTGATGCTCACCCAAATGCCAAATCAAATGGGTATGCATTTTCATTCAGCCACTCCTTGTTTCTTTAGATTAGCAATTGTTACCGTATTTCTTCTCAATAGAGTTGGTTCGGCGGTACCAAGTTCAGGTCCTTCTCCAGGTCCAGTTCCATCCTCCTCCCCAAACTCACCGGAGGCCTACCTAAATATGCACAACTTGGATCGGGCAGAAGTTGGTGTTAGGCCTATGACTTGGGACAAGGTGGTGGCGACGTATGCACAAAATTTTGCCAATCAATTGATCGGAGACTGTAGTCCTCGCAGTTCAGATGGGCCTTATGGAGAGAACTTTGCATGGGGATCGGACAACAGCCACTTCTCGGGAACAGACGCAGTAAAGATGTGGGGTGGTGAGAAGGCTGACTATGACTTTGAATCGAACACCTGCGTTGCGGGATATATATGCAGCCATTACACTCAGGTCATCTGGGGGAGCTCAATTCGTCTTGGTTGTGCAAGAGTAATATGCGAAAATGGTGGGGCTATTGTCGTTTGTAACTATGACCCTCGTGGAAACCTGCCCGGCCAGCGCCCCACAGGAGGAGGAAATCAATCAACACCGGTAGCAACACCGGTAGCAACCCCGCCAAGCTCTCCTGTTGCAGACCCACCAACAATTCCTTCAGGGATAAATAACCCTGGAATACCAGTTGGGTCAATTGTTGGGGTATGTGTTTTTCTTTCTGGTTTAGGTTTTATACTCTTCTTTTGCTGGAGAAATGGGAAAGGTAGTTCACTAGATGAACTTTCCTTTGATGTTTCATTCGGTGATGAATTTGGCAATGGCATGGGACCTAGAGAGTTCTCCTACAATGAATTGTCTATAGCAACAAAGAATTTTGCGGCAGATGAGAAGTTAGGTGAGGGAGGATTTGGGTCGGTTTATAAAGGTTTCTTGAGGGATTTAAATACAAATGTTGCAGTTAAAAAGGTTTCAAGGAGATCTAAACAAGGAATTAAGGAGTACTTATCAGAAGTGAAGATTATTAGTCGATTAAGGCATAAGAATTTAGTAAAACTTATAGGTTGGTGCCATGAAAAGGAGCTCTTACTCGTCTACGAGTTCATGCCTAATGGCAGCCTCGATGCCCATCTTTTCAAAGGAAGAAGTCTATTACCATGGAAGCTTAGACACAAAATTGTGCAAGACGTGGCATCAGCATTATTGTATTTGCATGAAGAAGGAGATTTTTGTGTGCTTCATAGGGATATTAAGACAAATAACATTATGTTGGATTTCACTTTTAATGCAAAACTTGGAGATTTTGGATTAGCCAGGTTAGTTGATCATGAAAAAGGATCACGAACAACTTTGTTGGCTGGAACCATGGGATACATTGCTCCTGAGTGTCATAGAACAGGCAAATCAAGTAAGGAATCAGATATCTACAGTTTTGGAGTTGTAACACTTGAAATTGCATGTGGAAGAAGATCACTAGAGCCTAGGTATGATGAGGATCAAGCCTCATTAGTGGCTTGGGTGTGGCAGGCTTATGGTAACCAAAGGCTTCTTAACGTGATTGACAAGACACTTTCTGAAGATTTTGATTTGAAGGAAATGGAATGTTTGTTGATTGTTGGCCTATGGTGCGTGCATCCTATTTACAGTATGAGACCGTCGATCGAGCAAGCAATACAAGTGCTTAATTTTGAAGCACCACTGCCAAATCTTCCAAGTGAGATGCCTGTTCCCAAGTATAATATTCCTAATACTCCAACCATCAAAATAAGTGAGCCTTGTTTGTCCAAAATGAGCATTACTGTACCTCGCTAAGTTTCTTACCTTACTTACTGCAAAATTGATTTCATAATAAATAAGTGTAATGTCCCCCAAGCTTGGTTATTGTCACACAAAAATGATTTATGCTTGGATTTTTTTTTTTGAAAATATAATTGATAATAGATAAAATAACATATTTTGTGTCCAAGAATCACAGTCGTCCTCCACAGCCTTTTCTTTTGTGAATCCTTTGTTTTGTTAAGTCCTCTGTTGTGAAGGGATTGCAAATTACCAACAAAACAGTAAATTACATTAGCTTTTCTTAATAGCGAAATATAATTTTATTAATAGAGTATATGCCGCATAACACACGGGTTTGAGTGGTTGCTCGTGGTTCTAAATCTTGACTACGCCACTAGCCTGAGCCTGTATTTCTCTTTACTAAACTTGGTAATTTTTTACCTAACCCGTTAACCCATCCATTACCCGCCCGTTTAAAACGGGTTAGGGTCATATATTTATAACCCGTGACCCGTTAATGACCCGTTAAGAGAACCTGACGGGTCACAGATCAATAACGAGTTGACCCATCGGGTTAATGGGTTTGACCTGTTTACCTATTTAAAAATATAAAATTTTTTAATTTATTATTTATTTATTTTGTTTTCCAATTCCCA